GTTTAGAGAGAAAAGATAAATTACTTGAGATTCATTTCCAAAATTTTCATGTCTTCTCTTATTTGGCAATTTCTTATTTGTATACACCCAATGGTACATGAAAATTCTTTCCAATCGGCACCATTGATGCTGGAATGGTGGAGAAAGCTGATCTTTTAGAGTAGGACTGCGTCGGATGGAGGAAGAAGGTAAAGAGTTGGGACCAGTTCACGTGAAGACGAAGTGGTCCAGATCTGAAGAGTCAAGCCGGTTCACTGCATGAAGAAAAATGGTTCACCAGTTCAGGAACCAGTTCGGTGCCTAGGGTTTTGGGTTTTGCTTCCCTGGGGATGGTTCTACCGTTCACACTCTACTCCCTAGTTTTATGATCAACTGCGACTGATTTCATTGTTTCCTTTGTGCACCCATGCTTCCAGCCACATTTTCATTTGATTTTATCTGTTATCTTAACAATTTCCTCCTCTTGAACATCAACCTTGTCCCTAAGGTTGAGACTCAATTTTTAAATATTTGGTGACCGAAAATATCATTACTATTTATTATTTTTATGCTACCAATGAACTCCATGTGGATTATCATGTTACTTGTTATCCGGAGGTTGATCATCTTCACTTTCTTCTTCTTCTTCCTCACATGTCTCAACTATCATGACTATTTTTCTTTGCACTAATGCCCTAAGAGTATTTTTCCCACATTTGTAGAAAAGATTATTCCTTCTCAACTTTGTATGATTTGGATCCATCAAAGATGTTGCTACTTGAAAATTCGGGAATTTGGAGAAATTTTTAGTGATGGGAACATTTCCTTTGGAAGAAGTTGTAGAGTATTTTAGTTTATTGTGACGGTTGATGACATCTACTGTTTGTTTTTGTCAGAGAGTCAACTCAAGTGCTTGAGTCAAATTGCACAACCTCATTGTCGATCTAAGTTCTTCCTCGATAGCACTCTAAAAGTAGATATAAAATATTTTTCAGAAAGTTTGGGGTTCTCTAAAATTACAAAGACCTCATTTCTTCAAATTTTCTTGATATTGGCGAATGGTATCTTTTTAGATCAATTTCTTGAATTCTATCATAATATCAACTCCGGCTAATCCTCCAAACTTTCTACACAGTTCCACCTCAAATATTTCTCATTCAAATATATTTGGATCATTTGTTAATCTATGGAACCAAATTTCTATCTTCTCTCCAAGATATATCGAAACTGTTTTCACTTTACTATCTTCTGAGATGTTGAAAATATGGAAATACTTAGTTGCATCTTCTAATCCATGTTCTAAGATTTTTCCCATCAAAGACAGGAATTTCAATTTTTCGGTGTAGGATTTTTTGCCTGGTTGCCCATCCAGTCTGAACTGCCAACCTTTATTTCTTTGGTTGTAGGGTTTTGTAAAATTCCTCTATCAATATTTAAAACAGAGGCAGAGGAACTTACCCTTGCAGCTGTTTCAGCTATCCGTGTGATGTTTTACAAGAATCTGGTTAGCCTTTCCAATTGTTGGCTGAACATAGCAAGTCTTTGGTCTATACTGACTCGGGTTTGTGCTTCCTTGGAACCAATTAATTTATAATGCTTTTATTTATTTAAAAAAGTGACTCGGGTTTGCTGTTGTGATGCATACATTTTAGATCTAAAATTTGAGAATTTTTGGTCCACTTCACGCATTTTCTCCTCCACAGTGACCATCTTTTGAGGTTTGAACAATCATGGCTTTACCCTCATTTTTCACCATTGCCATGAAATTTGCAAGAGTTTTGTCAAATTCAACCGGTTCTAATATCAAGTTGTCAAGATTCGGCTTTGACATGTAATTTACTGGAACCTTACTTTTGGGAAAGGAAATTAATTTGTGGTGTTTATGATAAAAATATAGAAATAAAGATAATTTTAAGAAAAATAAAATTATGAGGAAGATTCTGGAAAAAAAAAGAATTAGAAGGGGAAGAAAAGAATTTTAGAGAAAGAAGAGGGGAAGATTTTGGAAACAAAGAAATAGATGGGGGAGAAAAAAATTAGAGAAAGAAGGGGGATGGGGAAGAGAGACAAAAGAAGAGATCAGAAGAGAGAGAGAGAGAGAGAGAGAGAGAGAGGAATTTTTATAGAGAGAGAAAGAGTTTTTAGGGAGAGAGAGACTGTTGGAGGGAGAAAGAGAGACAAATATAAAGAGAGAGGGAGAGAAAGAGAGAGATCTTGGAAGAGAGAACTGAGAGTTTAGAGAGAGAAAATAAATTATTTGAGATTCATTTCCAAAAATTACATGCCTTCTCTTATTTTACAATTTCTTATTTATTAAACCAAATGATACATGAAAATCCCTTCAACTCGGCACCATTGAAGCTAGAATGGTGAAGAAAGCCAATGTTTTAGAGTATGACTTCTTTGCGGAAATAAAGGAGAGCTTAGAGAGAGAGAGACTGAAAGAGAAAGATTGAAAATAGAGGGATTGAGATTAATCTTCAAATACACCTCGATGCTTTTGATTTTACTAAATGGGGGTATATATGCACGAAAGGGTGCGCGAATTATCTCTCCAATTGCCAAACATCGGCTTAGAAGCTGGGACACCTGCAGAAAAGCCGGCGAACAGAGTGGATGCATCTGCCAGGGTTCCTGAATGAATAGGGAAGAAGAAGATGTCAGTTCGGTGGTGCCGCAGTTCATTGAAAAGGAGAAAACCAGTCCAGTTCAATGTCCGCTCAGTGCCTAGGGTTAGGGTTTTGAATACCCTGCATGCATTTTAATTTTTTTTTCTCCCATTCCCTGGTTTCTACTTCTCTTCGCTCGGTTTCATGGAGTTTCTCCGGCACCTGGACCCTTACAGAAAACTAGGTTGATAGGGCCTTATTCAGGCTACTCAGTGAAGATAATTAATACTATAATAGTCTAGTCTGTTTGTACTGAATTAATGTTCCAAATCAAAAAGCTTAGGTTCATGAATAATCAGGTCTAGAAAATCACCCGAAGTTTAAGAGAGGATGAGCTTAAAGACAATGCTTATGAATTTGAATGAAGTTCTTACAGGAATAGTAGTGGTAGTAAGGAGGAACATAGATCTATTGCAGAGAATCAGTGAATTGTTCCACTTGTCTGCCGTGGGAGGGCATAATTGTTGAGTTGCCTCAGGATACCAGATCCATCCTAATATTTGTGTCCTCAGCTGAAGTGGTCAAAGGGGCCTGCTTCATATTATGAGCTTGTGATTGATCCACCCTAGCACGGTCATTTGACTCTACAACTTAAAGCCATTTTAGACTGAAAAATGGCTATATGGCCGCATATCTGCCGCCCTGTTGCTTGTCCACTGCAAAAATATACTGGTTGAAGAAGCTGCTGTAAGATCCTATGATCTACAACTCTAGTTTCCCTATGCTACCCCCGATGACAATGGTCTTAAAAGGGGAGGGTACTGATTTGGCTGTAAGTTTTAATATAGTAATAAAGTGATGGTGAGGAATGAAACCATAGTTGTAGGTGGGAATTATAGTTGGTACAAGTGATTAGGGAGTTAGTTAGAAAAAGCTAGTTTGGGAATATAAAAGCTAGGGGCAGTTTGATGCATTGCTATTAACTGATTAAAAAGGAATTTCAGTTTCTCCTTTTCTCTTTATTCTTGTTCCTCTTTCCCCACTTTCTGAATCACGATCCTAGCAGTTCTCCCCTTATGCTGATTAACTTCCATTATGATTTATGCGATTGACCTTATGGAAAACCTCAGTGACTCTTTGGTCTATTGAGTGATTTGAGGTTGAAGCTTTTGAAGCCGAATTATGCTTAACTGTTTTTTCACCATCTTTCTGCATTTCAGTTTCTGAAGATTTCGTGGTGGAATGCACATACTCATAATTCAGACTAAGCTCTGGAACAAATTTTGAATGCCTACCACCAATAATGATGGATATACTAGACGAACGCACACAAAAGGTTATGCTCTATTTTGATTGAATCTTCGCAAGTCGGAATAATCCAATAACTTGCCTTTAAACAACAAAATGGCTGAACATGGTCGGAGGGCATGCAGCAACAATCTGCTTCATGTTTCTTGTTGGGACATAAAAAAGCAATGAACCATTACTGTTAAAAACCTGGAAATCTAATCGACATGGTCGAGGTTGTCTGGATGATCAATAAAATTGTATTGGGGTAAGACATAATTACATAGTAATTTAATGTTTAGAGATGGTGTAAAAAAACAATGGTTGGAGCATGCATTTTGGTTGCGGAAGAGGAAATATGCAGTCTTCTATTTATGTCTACTTTTCTTGGACTTGTGTTGCTTGCCAGGAATCTTACCTTTCGGTCATGTTAAGAAACCCTTTAGTTTTGCTCATTTAGCCTCTAACTAAAAGATGGAATTGTAACATAATTAGTTTGATACAGGAGGAAAATGTGAAAATTAGTATATACTAAGATCGCATCAAATTATCTCCTATTCTTTCGTGCAAAAAAGAAAACAACTATTTTCTCTCTCTCTCTTTCTATGTTGAAGACTGATTTCGGTTTCAGAATTTCAGTTCAAAACTTGATAAGTTTGAACTTAAAAATTACGAATTCCCTTTTAATTTGAAGTTGAATGATACCATTGCTTGGTTTAAAACTCCCTACTTTTTATGTTTGATTCAAATTCTATTTATGGAGGAATGTGAACATAATATAAATGTGATAGAATTTGAATTGAATTAGTGCTATATAACACTCTACATTAATTTTTATCTAATTCGGGGAATGACTTATGCTTTAACTAATCATAATTAAATCCCTTCTATAATCAACACTTAAATAGAAGGGAAATTTAATTATGATTTTTTTTAATAACAAATTAATTGCTCACGGCAATCAGATTCATGTTTCTTTCCCCCTCATATAACCAAAAATGCCTCTCAACGAGACACCTCTCTTCTCAAGTTTCGAGATATATATGTATACACACAGACACACAACCACCTTCTCTTTTAATCATAATGAACAAAAATGGTTTGTTATTATTTCTTAATATTACTAGTTTTCTGTAATTCAATTAAATTATAAATTTATATTTTCTTTTAATTATTAAAATTGACACCATTTTTTTTTCCTATTGTTAAGACCAATAGATAGATCTGTTTATACATGGATCTATTTGATTTTATTAAAGATTTATAATATTTTCCCTAGTTTTGAAGTAACATTTCCCATCATTTTAATTACTTATAAATCAAGAAAGAAAAACAAAATTAAGATACAACTGAACTATCACACAGAATACAGTTCCTAAGAACAGTTGATACAAGATTACTTATTTCACAGCATGGATCAAACTAGTACAAACCCAAATATTAAGTACGATAAAAGGCATTCACTACAATGCCTTCAATATATATCCCCATGTTTTGTTTTCACTTAAAACAACAATATTCTTTCGATAATCACATAAACAAAAGCCTCTTTTCTTTTTTTTTTTTTTTCCTTTCTCTCTTCTAAGATCAAATTCTAAAATACAAAGGGAATCAGAGCCTTGACATGATTAGGGAAATGATCAAATTTAGAGAGATACCATTTCCTAGTTGCATAGCTCCTACCCATCAAGTAAAAAGTAGTAGCAAGAGCAAAGCAAAAGGCATAAACAGTCTGAGAAATGAAGAAGATCCCCCAGAAGATTAAAATCTCAAAAAGGTAATGTGGGCATATCACAAGATCAAATAAACCACCTCGGGGAATCTTGTATTCCTTCTTGCCTTCATTACCTCTAAGCTCGGAAAGAAGATAATGGTGGTAAAAATTGCCACAAATCCCAATTACATACACCAATACTCCAGGGTACATCAAATCCACTGCAGGCTCCGTGGATCCATGTGTGAGATGTTGAGCATAGATCATAAACGCACTTGATACAAAATAGCTTAGAGAAATTGTAAGGGCAGAATCCAGAATCATTCCCCCACTGTACTTGTGTATAAATAACACCTGCATATACATTATATAAATATAGTGAAAGAATGTTTTGCCCAGAAAATAAAATGAAGGACCCATTACAATTTTAAGGAAAAAAATTAAAGCTTTTTGAAAGAATTAGATTGAAAAATTTCAGTACATAAAGGCCAATTGTAGCATGCAAATTATTGCACTAAAAAGCTATGTCCAGCATGCGTATAAATTCAAGAATTAACATTTGTTTTTCAACAGTTACATTATTTTTTAACCAGCTTTTTACTTTCTCCTAGTAATGCATTCAGAATTTTACTCTTCAATATTATTAATAAAAATTAAACCCGTGTTCAAGATAAAAAGTATTCTCCTTTTAACATAATTATAGAAGACTCAAAAGTTAAATCTACATAGAAGTTGTTGGGCAATTGAAATGGACAAAAATATTTGTACTGTTTATTTCCATGTGAGGTTTAAGGGTTTATCAACCCTTTTGGTTCTCACATTCGTTTTTCTAAACGAGTCAAGCTATGATGCTTTCAAAATAGTTGTGCTGTTTTAACAGTTAAAAACAAAGAATAATTAATTAATCATCAACTGGTTGAATGATTGAAAGTAGAATACTTCTCTAAGAAGCAAGGCACTCTGGAACTTTCCTTCTAAGACTATTATTTTTTTATGTTACAGTTAAAGATAAGCACACACAATATATTGATAGCACCAAGCTAAAAATTCAATTTAATTAATATATAGATAATATTTTAAACTCCTGTGGTAATCAGTTTGATTTCATTATTTATTCCATATATATATCTCCTGCAAGTGGAAACACAAGATTACCTTTGATTAAAAATCCTTAATTTTCAAACATATTATTGAGAATCTCAAACCCAATATTCAGCCTCAATCTTTTTAATTTAATATATAAACTTGAAGAATATATATATGCACATATAATCATGCCATTCTGATTATTTGATTTGATTGATCTCTCCTACTTAATTCCTAACAACTGCTTAAGTCATTATTTAAAAATTTTAATATTAATTTAAATATATATGATTGTGATATCTTTTTATTTAATTTGAATAATTAGTACTTCCTAGTTCCTAGAATTATCAGACAAGGCATCCTTACTATTTAGTTTATTTTCTAATTATGTCTTAATAATCTTATTTTTCAATTAAATTTGGTACGCATGATAACAATATGACTTTTTAAAGGAAAAAATTGAAGTCATCAGTTAATTTTAAATTTTAATTAAAAACTCAAAATTTTCCTTGAGAAAATTAAAATTCCTTATCTCTTAAAAATTCAATCAGTTTGAATAGAGATTTCATCCAATTCATTTTGCCTTCATATCCACAAGAAGATAACTAATCGGAAGAAACAGAAACAAAGGGATTTGGATTAGAACAAAGAAATAGTAATTGAGAAAGAATGTTCACCTCAAAGATCCGCTTGAAGAAATGAATGGAGACGGCTAATTGGACTAGCAGAAATCGGAGGCCTTCATCAGGAAAGAGGAAAAAGGAAGCAGCACCTGCTAAAAATGCAGGAGCATACAGCAGAAGCATTCCAGCTCTACTCGGCAGCTTGATCTGTTTGATTAATGGAGATCGATTTTGCGAACCGGCCTTCCAGAATTTGGAGTACTGAAGGTGTTTCCCTCTCACCTCCGAAATCCCGCTAGCTGTAATTCCGATGAAACTGGCCGCAGATATGGCCGTCATTAATCCAGAGGCCGGAGCGGGGAAAATTATTTTCTGCATTATCATCTTCGCCTTCCTCCGTTTTAGTAATCGGGTCGGGGGTTTTGACTCTGCATTTGTTTTCTGTGTGTGTATATATATATATATATATATTTAAAAAAAAAAAATAGGGTGTACATATCATAATTCTGTATTGGTCAGATGATTATTTAGACGCCGAAAATAATTTTGAGTTCACATAAACAGATTTTAGAATATGAAAAAGTCAACCAAAAAAAAAAAACATACATACACGCGCAATGTGAACAAGGAAAAACGCACCGTTTTGATAGAATTAATCATACGTACATTTATTTTTTATTTTTAATTTAAAAAATATATAATTTTTGTAGAAAAAATTGGTTGAGAAATAAAACTCATCATGCTTCAATTAATTAAGAGTATGGTCCACCATTTTGCATAAATATTTTTATATTGAATGATTTTATTGGAGATTATGAAAATAATTTGTAATAATAAAAAAAAAACGTGTGTTACTATTTTATGGTTGACTAGAATAATAGACAGATGTAAATAGGCAATTCCAAATATGGGAATATATATTATGTTTTTTTTTGCTTCATGACAACTTACGGATAGTAATGTCTTCTTTGGAAAAAATTTTACCATTCTAACCTAAGTTGTGTCAGACCGTAATGATTAAATTGATTATTTTAACCCATAAAGATATTAGTTATAAAAAAATTTAAAATTATCACCTTTTTTATAATTTATGTAATATTTCGAGTTCGGAATTTGATTCAGAATTAATTTTAAATTTCTAAAAATATATAAAAATTTATTTTTAAAATTAATAAATTTTAATTTAATGTAAAATTATGAAGGAAAAAAAAAGAGTAGAGATGAAATTAAAAATAATTTTGATAAAAAGTAGTGAAAATTTAGGTTTCAAAGAGGGTTTTTGAAAGAAAAATAAAAAATTATAAGTCAGAACTCAATTAAAAAAAATTTTGCCACGTAGGACTGGAGCGTGTTGAGTGGCAAGGCACGCTAACTCAGTGCCATGTGGGAGGCCACGCTGGCGATCCGCGTGCCCTGCGATCAGATGACCAAGAAGCGTTCCCGCGCGCGTGGACGGTCCAGATTCGTTCCCTCCTCAGGCACGATCGAACGGTCGTGATCAAATACGATGAACGATTCAAATTCATTCTCTCCTTAGGTGCAATCG